TTTGTTTAAGAAAAATGGAACCAATGGGTATGGTCCGAAACCCTATTTTATGACACAAAGTTGTTTCTGCAACCTGTTCATTGGAGAGGGTCTACCATGTCAATACCTTTTCAAAAAAACAAAACAAATACTAAAATGTGATGAACATGTATCATATAGATAAATCTAAGCCCTAGTTTTATTTTTTTCCTTTTTTACTGCAACTTTTTTTTGTTGGCAATCCACGATTTCTTTTATAGATCTAGAGGACATGCAATCTTAAATAACGCGTAGCTACCAAAATCCTCAATCTAACTTATCAAGAAGAGGGGCGAACCAACGGATGGAGAGAACCAAAATTCAAATAAATTGATCTTCTCGATGTGGAAAGTGCATTTTTTTGAGACATGAAATAACCTCCCAACCAAAACTTTCTATTTTCTACTTCTTTTTAAATTTAATGTTAATTCTAAACTGACATCAGATGCCAATTTGACAACCTTATAAACGACATGAAGCGGAGAGTCTAAGTTAGGTATGCCCATTAAACCTATGAGTTTTAACTTTTTAGGGTACTTGAAAAAGTAATAACCCCAATTCAAAATAATCACTTATTTATTTATAGACTAAAATAGATATATTGAAAAAAATATTATACTAAAATAACTACTTTTGGAAGTTCAGAGGAATAAAATTTGAAACTTTAGCATAGACTTCAAGGGTTGGGAAACCAACATAATATTTAGAACATTTTTATTTTTAATGTCGGCATATGTTTCCATCTTCCTAGTCCAACAAACACACATCTTTACTTTTATCTCAATAATAATGTTTTATATATATATAAAAAAAGTAATAATAATTAAAATCTTTAAAAGGCCTAATTGCATGAAAAGTTCTAACAGCGGCCTTTCTAAGTAGAATCAGAGATGCTTCAGAAACTCAAAATCTGTTTCTTTGAGTTTTTGTGCAGCAGCACTCAGAGTTTCATTGCTTTTGCAGAAAGCAAACCTGATATATCTCTTTTGAAACCTACAGGCTTCTTCGTCGTGCTTTTCTTTCGATGAATCCGTATGAAAAAACCCGCATCCCGGCACCGCCACCACCCCGGCTCGTCTCACCAGTTCCTCAACACACTCTACCTGAAAGACATCAATCAAAAACAAAGTCATTTCACTTCAATATATTTGCCAACCAAACTCTTTAGTCGACAGATTAAGTAGGCATATATATATGTATACATCAGTAAGTGTGCAACTTTTGGGGAGTTCTGCAAATAAAAACAAAGAGCCTTGAGGCTCATACGGGATTCGAAATCCGAGATTCATGAGCAACTTAGCGACGTAATCTCTTTTCGACTCGTAGTCCTGCACATCAAATGGCATATCATGAATGAAACATAGAAATCAAAAGCTACATATCAATTGCATAAAACAATGGAAGTGTTTGGCTTTGAAAGTTATATATGCTACTCGTCTTAATGACTCGAAAAATTCCGGGGGACTTTGCAATGCAATCAAGGCAGCTTCCTGGAAAGGGGCTGGAGCAGAGTCTGTAACTCTAACATGAATGTTTCTCATTGCAGAGGCAATAAAAGCAGGAGCAATTGCCCAACCAATCCTCCATCCTACAATTTAGGTAACTGACATCAGTTTAACGACAGCCAAGACATGTATGATAGCTTGCAAATTCATGAAATGCACGGGTTTCAGTATGGATCTAGATGTAACCTGTAACTGAAAATGTTTTAGACAGCGACGACGTGATGATAGTCCTCCCTTGCATTCCTGGCAGCGAGGCGAGAGATATATGCTTTGCATCACCAAACGTTATATATTCATATACCTGTTGAAAGACATCATATTGAAGAGGAAAAGAGTGTTTTATGATGGGCAAGATCATTAGAAGAGAAAAACAAAAAGACAAGGTTATCATACTTCATCTGTTATGACTAGGCAATCATTCGTGCAGCATGCTCCCGCAATTGCATCAAGTTCATCCTTGGAGAAAACTTTTCCAGTTGGATTGTGAGGGCTGCGCAAAACCACGACTGCAACTTGTTGGTCATCATTAGAGATAATTCACCATTGCCAAGATTAGATCCCAAAAGTTCAGAAAGGAGGGAACACAGCTTCCCCTTCTTCTCTTTTCATTTGGTATAAATACCTAAATATAAAGTTTCTTGCTAACCACTGACCCGGATCTGTTCTAAAGGTTGGATGGCTATGTCCTTGATTTCTAAAGTTTATTGATAAGCATGTTGTTGTTAATCAATCAACAAAATTATCGATTTGTCGTTTATCATATGCAAGAAAAAGGAAAGGATATCCTAGTAAAACCGCACGTTGAATCTAACAACATCCTCAACATCCTTTAGAAGGAAGCATTGATGATTTTCTGTTAAGTTAACAAAGAGTAAAGATCATAATCATCATGATCGGCACGATCATCTAGTTTTCTTGACGCATACGAAATTCTTACCTGTTCAATACTATAGCTTTTGTTCTACTCGTAAACGACTTCAAAAGTTTATTTGGGTCCAGATTCCAATTAGGAGGGTCAAGAGTCACATATACCTGTCCATTTTGAGTTCAAAATCAGTTTCAGCAGTCAGAGAAATCAATTCTTCAAGAGATGTTAATTAACAACACTGTTAACTTACTGGAACTCCTCCAGCAATGGATACAACATTTCCGTATGTGTCAAAAGATGGATTGAAAATTACAACTTCGTCACCAGGGTTTATCACTGCCAAATAAGAAGACCATTAAGATCATACCACAAACTACAGAGCTTTGGACAGAATCGCGGTATAAGAACATGAAAAGACATGTACCGGAAAATACAGCAGCAGCAAATGCCTCAGTTTGGCCACAACAAATAACAATATCAGTAAGAGGATCAACATCTAAACCATGTATTCTCTTTGCTATCTTAGCCAGTTCGTCACATATCCCCTGCACATGCCTTGTCTTTCAACAGTAGGTTCAGTGCACACAATCAAGATGAATTTCATCAAAGACCATTGTTATTATTTGTTTATCAGGATTCATAAAATTTGCTTTATAAGTCAACAATTCCCTCATCGAAAAATGGCGTGTGAAATTCAAAACTAAAACTGCGTGATTAGGCCTAAAATAGACAACATCATACCATATCAGAGAAGCACATTATTCTAAAGATTCAAGTTGAATTTGGATGAACACGGTCAAATTATTGGAACAAGTCCTTCCTCATGAACAACTTGAACGAAGCGTAAAATCCGACCCAACCTTTTTTCTTTATAACTTGGAGTCGGAGCTCTGCTCCCTTATGCCCAGGGGCATCCGTCCCTATCCCAAGGCCCAGACCCATGAGACATTAAGGACTTTTGGTAACTTGAGACCTGCATGATGTTAGGCCTCCCATTGTGAAGACTTATCATAGGAGGGGTAGAAAAGGAATTGTACTAGGTACAATAGAATGATGGGGAATAAAGAGGAAGGCCATGACCAAGAGCCTTTGCCAACCGGACTGCCCCGGGGCAAATTTCTAAAACCCAACTTCTTAATCATATTAATAAAGCATTTCCGGGCATCATTTCCCTTCCCTTTTTCCAGAGTACTAAAATTCAAACCAAGAGACAAAAACTTGAACCTTATTCCTCAAGTTTACTAATGTACCATAATCTTTATGCAATAACTAAATCACGATATGATATTACAGATGTCAAACACTGAAATTACAAATTGGATCTAGAAAGAACCACTTCTTAAAACTAGGAGACCTAGTATAGTAGACATTAACATTGAAAGTTTATTAGTGGGTTTTGATTAAACAATCCTAAAGACTAAAGAGGCGTGAGAATGAAGATTAAAAGTACGAGAAGTGGAAGAATGGACCTGTACTGGTTGAAATCGGAGTTAATGGCGGAAACGGCGGCGTTTTTGAGGCGGAGCGGCGCCGGAAAATCGGGGAATCCTTCTGCGAGGTTGATGGCGTTGCATTTCTCAGCAAGAAGAGTGAGCTGTTGAATGGGCGAAGGGATGAATTTCTTAGCTACAGACGACAGCTTCTCCTCCATGGCCATGGCCATATCCTATCCTCTGCAAAAAAATCAGACGCGCGGATTTAAGATTCAACCGTTAAACCAATATTTTTCCTTTTTCCTCATTCTGCCCGACATGTATGAAAGTTGGCACCGATTGAAACGGGAAAATCCTCTTTCGTCTACGTTTCATTATTTATCTTTTTCTTCGATAAAGAAATATTATCTGAATCTCAATGAGTTATTTGTGTATCAAAAAAAAAAATATAGTTATTTGTCGTCCTAAATGTGTATATCCAATAAAAAAAAATGAAAAAAAAAATCGTGCATTCGAATTTTCGAATAAAAAATTAAACATATAAGTCTACTTTAGATATAAGTCTCGTAACTTTATTTCTAGAGTTCACAAATAATGATTGAATTTCGAACATAACATTGATTTGGACGAATAACTATTGAAATGCTACCTAATAGATACGTTTCTTCTTTTCAGTACAACAACATGTAGGAGTAAGATTCGAATATACAACTTTTCTATCGATAATACATACCTTATCCGATTAAGCAAGATTCAGGTCGACACTAATGAAATATGTTAAAGCAACTAATATCTTACATAAAAAAATATTTCCATTAATTAATGACCGATGAAGTAGTAAAGTCCAATTGTCTCATATTCCTAAGAGATTAGAGAAAAAAAAACCACCTTAGAAAACTAAAATATTCTTAATAGAGCACATATTATTTGTCTATCAATCTAATAAACTATATCAATAAACACCGTCTTTTAGTCTATCAAACATCGACTATATCATGATTATAAAGATAAAAAGAAAATTACGTAAAAATATTTAAATCATAATTCTATAACCATATATGTAAATACTACAACTTGAATTGACAGCGATTAAAATTCCTTCTCTTTTATCCTTATTTTTAGAAACATTTTTGTAATTGAGAATTGGAGAGGGTGAAAAGAGGTTCAAAGGAGTCAAAGTAAATTAAAAGGAATAAGTTCAAACCTCGTAATGGTCGTCTATCTAAGAGTTAATTTTTCTATATATTTTTTAAGTAATTAAATATAGTAGGATTAGACGGTGGTAGATTAGTTGGTGTATAAGTTAGTCCAGCATTCACAGATATATAAAAAAAAAAAGGTTAAAAAATGGTGAGAAGAGACAAAAAGACCCAGAAACATAGAGTTGTGTGGAGAATTAGACAGAATCTAGAAAAGGCAACCAAAAAATGGTCGTTTTTGTTGGGTTATTAGTGCGGCCCAGATGGATTGAGATTTGATAGAACCCCTTAATTAAAACAATTTGGAGCAAATTCCTCTTCCTTTCCCTCCCACTTCCACAAAATATTTAATTTAATCTCTCTTTTTTTTTTCTTGAGTACACAGAAGATTTGATTAAGGGCGGTCAACCCGAGCATATTTTAGTAGCTACCATCAAATCATTATAAGCTCGGGTATTTGTATTGGTAATTAATTATGACTAGAGTGATAAAAAAAAATCATAACTAGAGTGATACAAATTGCAAAATTAAATTGAAAGGCAACAAAAATGAAAAATAAAAGTCGAAGTGATCACGATAATTGACATATATCTCAAACCAAATAGATCGTGAGTTCGAATCCCCTTCCCAACGTGTTGATGGTCACTAGGTTTGACATTTTCTTAAATTACTAAAAAAAAAATACAGGAAACAAAACAATAAGGACACATTTGGTGATATTTCCGTTTCTTGTTTATGTTTCCTCCATTTTAATAAAGAAAAATAGTATTGCATGGTTCTCAATACCTAAAGATTCAAGAATGATAGAACATGATTTATATTTATGTCCGAACAAATTAAAACTTTTTTTTACTGTTTCCAAAACTTTTATACAATTTTGAGAATATGTTTCTAAAATATAGGAATGAGAAACATGAATAATTGTCAAAGGCTTAAATTTCTGAATAAAATTAAAAACAACAAACAAAAACGTTGAAGAAACCTCTCAACTTTTAAAATTACATAAACTAAAATAAGTAAAAGCTTAAAAGTATAAAGAGTAAAATGTCTGTTTTGAACCAAAATTATTAAAAGTTAAAAATATACCGACCAAAACTATTTAAATCTTTATTTATTTTTATTAAATTAAAATGTTGTTTCTATGTGCATTTAACTTCTAAAGGCAACCATTTAAAAAATATATGTACTTTCCAATTTTGGGTCTAAGCCCGAGGGGCGTTTTCGTCATTAGACTCTCAGTTTATAAACTGAAACGAAGCCCATTCCTCTGTTTTCTCTGAGGACTTTCTTCAAACACCTTCCGCCTCCTCCTCGCTTTCTCTTAAAAAGTTCTTCCCTTGATCCGATCATGGCCTCCGTCATTGATCGCCCCGATCCCTCTGCTTCGACCTTCCATCCCTCTCTAATGGGTATTTCGAATCAGAGTCAGCTTAAGTCGGAATCTCAGAAACAGAGGAGCTGCGTCGACTGCCACGCCACCAGAACGCCGCTCTGGAGGGGCGGCCCTGCCGGGCCAAGAGTAAGAACTTCACCATTTAATCTCTCTCCCTAATTTACGAGTTTAATTTGCGGGTTTAGTGGTGATTTGAACGGTGGGTTTTTGGTGTTTGGCAGTCGCTGTGTAATGCGTGTGGGATTAGACACAGGAAGTTCAAGATGAGCAGTGGGGGAGTGAATAAGAGCCGGAAGGGGAAGAAATTGGGAAATGGGGGTTCGTTGAAGCTCACGGTGGTGGATTTTCGGAGAGAGATAGTGCTACACAGTGCGGGGGCGACGATGGCGGATCGAGTTGCAGACGGGATCGGAGAAGATGAACAGGCGGCGGCGATGCTTCTCATGGCTCTCTCTTCCGGCTATGTATAAAAAGTTTTAAGTAATTAAAAAGAGTGGACGACGGCTTTTTGGGAATTTACAGTTTTTTTTTTTAAATATGGGAATTTACAGTTTCGTCTCTTAATTTTGTATGGAAAGAGATTTTCAGTGTAGGATTTAGAAATAATAATAATGGAAGATTTTATTTTTTCTTTTACTTGTTGAGTAAGTTTGTTGTAATTTTCGTTCTATTTGAATGGGTAGTCAAAAGAATTTGTTTTGTTAATTTGTTTCTTGGCCTTCTAGTGGGGTTAGGTTTGAGTATTATTATAATTAATGTCCTTCTCGTCAATATTTATTTGTGGTGGGTTCAATAGTTTTTTTTTTAAGATAAATTTTGAGTTATTTTTTCTTTTTAATTTATGTTTATTTTTGTTCGAAAGGTTGATCAATTTGAATGAAGTTAAATGTTTTGAAGTCACATTGATTGGTTGAATTAATATAGAAGTAAAATTTGAACTTTTCAAGTAAATTTCATTACCTTTAAGTGCATTCATGCTATTAAAAATAAGCAAAGTAGGTGATGTGGCAATGAAACTGGATACGAGTAAGGTCTATGACAGAATCTAATGGCCTTATCTAAAAGGAATTATGGAAAAGATGGGCTTTGCAAGTAGATGGGTGGATCTTATCATGAAATGTGTGGAGTCGGTTTGGTTTTCAGTTATGCTAAATGGTGTCCTAGGAGGTGAATTCGTGCCTAACAGAGGTCTTAGACAAGAAGATCTGCTTTCTCCCTATTTATTTATCCGTTGTGCGGAAGGGCTGTCTGCCTTTATCAATGAAAAGGAAAAAGACAACAAAAATTCAGATTTGAAAATTAACAGGCGATGCCCATCTATTTCACATTTATTTTATGCTGATGATAGTTTGCTGTTTTTCAAAGCTACCACAGGTAATTGCAGGAGTATAAAAGAGATCCTGGACTCTTATGAAAAGGCTTCAGGCCAATGTATTAATCTAGACAAGTCAATGTTCATGGTGAGCAAGAATACCAAGGAGGAGATGGTGAGTCTATCAAGCAGGAGCTACAGGTGATTCACACAGATACCCTAGGGCAGTACCTAGGGCTTCCTTCCCAAACAGGGCGGAATAAGAACCAGGTGTTTGCTAATATTAAAGACAGGGTTTGGAAAGCTCTTCAAGGATGGAAAGGGAAGCTTTTTTGGGAGGAATGGAAGTCCTTATTAAATCAGTAGCGTTAGCAATTCCAACTTATACTATGACTGGCTTTAAGCTCCCTAACAATCTTTGTGCTTATATAAATTCCTTGTGTGGTTTTGGTGGGGAGCTACGGAAATAGATAGGAAGATACATTGACGTAGTTGGAAGAAGTTGTGCATCCCGAAAGACCAAGAAGGTTTGGGCTTCAGAGATATAAATATCTTTAACCAAGCCACGCTTGCTAAACAAAGTTCGAACCTTTTAAAGCATCCTAATAGTTTGGTTGCTCGGGTGCTTAAGGGTTGCTACTTCTCAAACGAAAGTTTCATCAAAGCTAAATTGGGGAACAATCCTTCTTTCGTCTGGCATAGTATCCTGTGGGGACGTGGTCTTTTCACGAAGGGATATCGATAGAGGATTGGCTCGAGTCTGGGTGTGGATATCTTGGAAGATCCGTGGCTTCCAAGAATTGGAAATTTTAAGCCCACTTTTGTGCATAACTCTCTGGAGAATTGCAAGGTCGCGTCGCTAATTAGGGCTCCCGAGGTGTGGAATGAAGATGCAAGGAACGGTTTCCAGGAAGCTGAAGCTGACTTTATCCTCAATATTCCCCCGAGCAAGAATAGCAACAGGGATGAGATTATTTGGGGCTTTTTGACAATAAAGGTCTTTTTAAGGTTAAAAGTGCCTACAGATTGGGTATTAAATTTCAGGACCCCCTATGTTAGCTTCATTCTTGAATGATGACATTTTGGGTATATGGTGGGAGAGATTCTGGAAAGTTCAAGTCCCTCCTAAGATCTTAATTTGCTGCTGGAAGATCATTCAAGATATCATTCCAACCAAGGCAAACCTGGGCTCCAAAGGCATTGTAACTAATAAGGGATGCCCCTTTTGTCAAGAGAAAGAAGAGACAACAATTCATCTGTTCTTCAATTGCAGGTTTGTTCGAGAACTTTGGGCAATTTATCTGAATCTTAATGTTGGCTCGTTTTCGTTGGACAGGTTAGCTTGGACGGCTATGGGCTACTTGGACTGGATTTGGAGAGATTCGGATCAAAATAAACGGCAAACAGAACTCATTTAACTATGGAGTGTTTGGACGTACAGGAATCAAATCGTGCACAATACCACAGAGCAAACATGCATTCAGAAGCTCACGATTCTTATAGAAAGCAAACTTAGAGATTTTTCTAAAAGTTTTGAAAAGAACCTGCGCTTGGACAACAAAGAAATTTCTGGCTCCTCCGGCTGGATCCTCCCGACGCCTCTCCGATGGAAGCTCAATTCTAACGCTACTTGGATAGACTCTTTGAATGAATGAGGAATTGGGTGGATGGTTCGTGATTGGGAAGGGCGACTCATTTTGGCAGGTTGTCGACATCTATAATGAAAATGGCCTATTAAAGTTTTGGACATTATTGCAATTTTAGAAGGGCTCGAAGTGATGAAACGTTTGTGCACCTTTGAGGATGGAATCAAAGTTCAGTTGGAATCGGATTGCTTGGAAGCCATGAACATCATTAATAATTTCTCTGTGGAGCTAACTGAGACCTCTTTGTTGGCGGAAGATATTCGGAAGGTGGCGGATTCCATGCCAATTGAAAGATTTCACCACATTTTGAGGAAGGCGAACAGAGCAGCTCACAGCTTAGTGAGTGTTTATGCAAGGATATGCACAACAGTGTATTTCAGATTGCAGCTCGAACTCGGCCTCCGGACCGATCTGAATACTTGGGCGGACCTGCACAAAAAGGTGAGCACTCCGACGATCAAGTCAGTATAGGTCGGATTCCCAGTTTAGTTCGAGGTCAGAAATCATCGTACCTGATCGTGGAGTGAAGTCCTCTACTTATGGGTGGTAGTCCCGCTAATCTCGCGACGGTTACACCCGGTAATCTCGGGACCGTCGGTTACACCCGATAATCACGGGACCGACGGTTATACCCGATAATCACGCTGCTGACAGTAGCTCACATCGGCCCCCACCGAGCTTCCCGGTAGGTCGGACCTCGACCAGGTTCACCTCGGCCCTCATACTTAGCATCTGTCAACGCTAGTG